CAATCTGACTCTCTTGCACACTCGGGATGAGGAGCTGGCCAAGGCAGAGATCGGGGTGCTGGCCACCATCCTGGCTGTAGCGACCGTAGGCAACGTGGGGGTGCTGCTGGCCATGTACCGCCTGAGGAAGAAGATGAGCCGGATGCATCTCTTCATCTTGCACCTGGGGCTGACCGACCTGGGCGTCGCGCTCTTCCAGGTGCTGCCGCAGATGATCTGGGAGGTGACGTACCGCTTCCTGGGGCCAGACCCTCTCTGCAGGGCCATCAAATACCTGCAGGTGCTGAGCATGTTCGCCTCCACCTACATGCTCATCGCGATGACGCTGGACCGCTACATGGCCGTGTGCCACCCGCTGCACACCCTGCAGCAGCCCAGCCGCCAGCGTGATGATCGGGGCGACGTGGCTGCTCAGCTGCCTGCTCAGCCTGCCCCAGATCTTCATCTTCTCCCTGCGGGAGGTGCGCCAGGGCTCAGGGGTGCTGGACTGCTGGGCAGACTTCAGGTACCCGTGGGGAGCCCGAGCCTACATCACCTGGACCACTCTGTGCATCTTCATCCTGCCCGTCGGCATTCTCACTGTCTGCTACAGCCTCATCTGCTACGAGATCTGCAAGAACCTCAAGGGCAAGACCCAGAGCGGTGCCCCCAGCGCAGGGGGGCCCACCGCAGCTGTGCCTCTTGCTCCCTGCTCCTCCGAGAAGAGCGGGCAATACCCCAGCAGCGGGCAGCCCTCGCGGGTGAGCAGCGTGCGCACCATCTCCCGGGCCAAGATCCGCACGGTGAAGATGACCTTCGTCATCGTGGTGGCCTACGTTGCCTGCTGGGCGCCGTTTTTCAGCATGCAGATGTGGTCTGTGTGGGACGAGGATGCTCCTGATGATGGTGAGTAGCGGTGGGGATATCGGGCTGCAGGCACGCCCTTCGCATTTTTAATGAACCAAATCTGTCCTATTTTGTCATTTTAAAGAACACGGGCAAGGCTACGCATTTGCTCTAGTGCTTATAGAAAATGGTTTGCAGAGTCAAATCATTGCTTTCATAAAAAAAACCAAAACAAACACTGAAAAACAGTGGCTTCTGACCATCACCTGTAGGGTCATGTAGAGATGTTACATGAACACCTTTGCCATGAGTCCTCATTCCCTCATAGGGGAATTTGCTTCAGGAGCTGCCGTGTTTGGTTTGTGACCGCAGGGAGGGAGGGTTAACTGTGCTGCTCCCATCCTCTGCTGGCACCGCCTCAGGGAGCAGCTGTGCTGCTGGAATAGGTCCTTCACCTCTAACACCAAGTGCCCATAAGGTTTTTGCTGAGCCAGCTGCAGAGGTGTCATAAATGGGCTTCTGATTTCATAGGCTGACTTTTTCCAGGAGCTCTTCTAGCCTGTTTGTGGGCAGAAAGGCCTCTGGGAGATGCTTTGGCCAGTAAACAGGCTGAGGGAAGGTCCAAAAGGTTGCTGGGTCTCATCTCCCAGCGCTGCCCCCAAGGATATGCTCCAGCACATCCCCGTTGCAGTACCTCACCCCACTGCAACCCTCTGCCAAGGGCAGAGCCCAGCTCTGCCTGCCGTGCAGCAAACTCCCCTGCCAAAGAAATGCGAGCCAGAGGAGATGGAATGGGGCAAAGGATACATGCCCAAGCCAAAATGAGCCCCCAGGGTCCTGCCCATCACACTCTGGGATCTTGCCCAGCCTGGTGGATGTTCCAGCTCTCTCCCTTTCCTTCCCAGAGTCCACCAACGTGGCTTTCACCATCACCATGCTGCTGGCCAGCCTCAGCAGCTGCTGCAACCCCTGGATTTACATGTTCTTCAGCGGGCACTTGCTCCAAGACGCGGCACGCTGCTTATCCTGCTGGGCTGCCCCTCGGCCCAGGCTGCAGAGACAGGCCTCCACCGGCAGAAAAAAAAGCAGGAAAACCACCATCCTGAGCCACAGCCACCACACCAGCCTCGCTGGCCTCCCCCTGCATGGGGGCAGCACCAAGGACTTTGACTCGCCCTGCGAGGAGGTGGTGACCGAGTCAGGCACGCTCTAGGCTGCAGCAGTGGCCAGCCCCAGACACATCTCTCCATGGAGGACGGCTGCCATTAGGTGTGACACCATGGACGTCACTGCAGTGGTGTCTCTCCCCACCTAGAAGCACCTCATTTTGCAGAAAACTGGGTGCTTAACCCAGTCACCGTCCATCTTGCCCTTGGGTGCTTGCTACTGCGCGCGCTGCATCTGCTGTGAGCATCGTGGGAGATGGACCGAGCCCCACCAGCTGCTGCCTGACCACAGCACCCACCTCCCCTGCACCTCAGGAAGCCTCTCGCTGCCTGGCTGCTCTCCTCCAGGGAGGCCTCACAAGCCAGGTACGAGCCGGAGGATGTCGCATCCGCATGTTTTCCTGGAGGGGCTTGAGCTTCGGGTGTTTCACAGCTGCCAGCGAAGCAGCCTGAGCACAGCAGGAGGCAACGTGGCGACATCTGCTCAAAAGCTCCCTGCGAGTTACTCATCTCCCATCCTCAGGGCTTTGCTGGCAGAGCAGGCAAGGCAGAGGCAGCTTTCCCACGCCTTGGGGCACAGCACACCCTCCCTCTGTGCTCCACAGCTCTTCTTGGCAGGCAGCTCCAGAGCAGGACCCTCTGCCCACCTCCCCGGGGTCACGGACAGGGCTAGAGCAAAAGCCATGCGGCAGGAGCATCCTCTCCTGTTGTGCACAGCGGCATCGCGCTGTGCCGCAGCCGAAACGCCGCACCGACGCCACCAAAGAGCTGCTCAGAGCAGCCCTGGCCCAGCTCCAGCTTACCCGGGCAGATCCTGCCTCCCTGCGTGCCCCGGCACTTTCCATCAGGTTTCCTCCAGCTCCCCGCTGCCACTCAGGGCTGTTCAACAGCTGCTGCGTCCCATTAAAGAGCTGCTCCCGAATTGATGCTGCTTTTGTCTTATTTAGCAGAGATCAGAGTGCCGAAACCACCCAGGGCTTGGAGACTGCTTCAAGGAATTGGGGAGCACAAAGGAGTTGGGGTGAGGAATAAGCCGTGGCTTTGCAGTCCCTGCTCTTCTCCCTGTGTTCTCCAGCAGCTGTTTTGGTTTTCAGGAGAGCACAAGCAAGGCAGGCAAGAGCATCCATTTGCTCTGGGAGTTGAGCTCAAATGCTGCTGCTGTGGGGTGTACAAGTGCCTCAGTGAGCACCGAAGGTACTGAATTCCCTACAAGTAAGGTGCGTGATTCTCTGTATTATCACAGGTTAAATCTTGAAAAAAAATAAGACGGTATTTTGAAATCTTAAATTATTTTCATTTTTTAATCACCAAGCATTCAAACTGTTTTTTCTGTAAACTCCCACTAGCTGTTTTTGATGTAAACCCACCTGTCCTGGCCCTTAAGCAACGGTTCCCAGAGACTCTTTGGGGTTTTGAACCTTTTCCTTCATGTGCCCTTCAAGTTGGGCCAGATTCACACAACAAGGTCGTAAAACCAGGAGGGCCTGACACCCCCCAGGATCGATACCAAATCAATTGTCTCACAACCTTTCATTAAAGCGCATCGCTGCTCAGCCGGTCTGAAATGCTGGAGCTGGGCTGTGCTGGGAGGCAGCGGCTCCATCCCTCTCACAGAACCCCCAACTATTGCACAGTTGCCTCTCCCCAGCACTTTAAAAGTTTAATTCTTGAGAAATCATCAGTAACATGGTGCAGAGCGATGGGAAGGAACCAGCCCCATTTTCAGCAGCAATTTGTTGTCACAGGGCGAGGCAGAGAGCCCCAGCCCCAGACAGGGCTGGTCGAGTGCTGGCGCTCCTGGACCTCACGAGCATAAAGGTGACCTGACAAATGTGATCAGGGATAACAGGGGAAGCAGCACCCCGGAGAAGATAAGAGCCTGCCTAGCACACTCAGTTCGCAATGCCAGGCTTATCTCTGCAAGCCAAAGAGCCCCCAACTGAGTTTTGTTAGAGAAAATTGCAGTGCTGTGCTCCAAGTGCCCTGGGAATTAAACCAATGCTTAAGAAAAATGTGAAATGTGGTACCAGGTGATGGGGGGTGCAGTGATGTGCGCCCCAGCTCAGGGCATCAAACACCCCTCTGCAGCTCTGCGGGGCACGAGCATCACTCTTGGATAAAAAAACAGATACCAAGTCCTGCACCCAGGGCATTTGGTGCAGGAACAAAGGAGAAAAAAAGCAAAAGGTGAGAGACAGGGAATGTTTCCCCTCCCCACAGGACACACAGAGATTTGACTCGCCTTCACTCACATGTTGATGCATGGTCCAGTCTCACAGCCCAGAAGAAAGAGCAGCCAGCCCAGCTGAGGGGATTTGTATTTATATCCCCTGGGAAACCCTTGGCCATTTGCAGCTGAGCTGATGGCCACGGCTGTCAGCTGGGGCAGGAATCTCCCCGGCAAGGCCACCCTCCTTCCCCAGCCCTGGCGTCCCCCTCAAAGCACGGCCGGGGTCACGCCGCCCATGCGGCTGCCCCAGCCCCAGTGACAGCTCCGAGGGTGACGGGGACTTGGAAAGATTTGGGGAATCAGAGGAAAAGGGGGTGCAAGGGAGGCTGGTGAATCAGGGCTTGTTGGGCAGCAAGGGCAAAGCCGGTGGAGGAACTGTATTTAAAAGTAATTTATGACAACAATCAGCAAATAAACATCATTCAGAGGAGATGGCAGACAGTTTGGGTGGATATTTTGAAGATTCCCTCCCCAAACTACACCCCAATTTCAGAGTGTGAAGGGGAGTGTGTGTGTGAGAGAGGTTTTTTTTGCTCTCATGGAATGAGAAAAAGGGGCCATTACACACAGCCGGGGAGCCCATCTCAGCGCGGGCAGGAGGAAATCTTCCCTGCACCATCCCACGCTCAGCAGCCTTTAGGAACAGCGATGCAGTTAGGTAAAACACCAAGAAATTGTGCCGGCGGGTTGGAGTGTTAGAAGCAATAAAAGCTGGCAGGCGTGAGCCCGTGCCAGGTGCGAATTGAGCGGAAGGGCTGACCCTGGTTGTGCCCGGGCAGTCACAGCTTCACCTCCGTGTACTCGGTGGGCTTGGATGCGGCGGGGCTGGAGAAAGGCCAGAAATCCACTTTCCTCTTCTTTAGGTCCACGTTGACGTAGTCCGTCCCAGCCTTCATGTTCTCGTAGTCCCCGGCGGAGCCTGGCCCGCAGCGTTTTCCCGGGAACACCAGGGATGTGTAATTGAGGTTTTTTTCTGAGTGAGGGCCCTGGAGAAGCAGAGATAAACCCCAGGTCTGGCACCAACCTCCCCCCGGGGGGTGGCTTTGCCCTCGAACCCACACGAGGACATGTGGCTGCTCGAGGTGCCCGGGTTGTGCCCAAGGGTTAAACCCTGACCCCCGGGGATGTTTCCCCCATGTTGCAGGTGACAATCGTCACCTCATTGCCGGTGCTTCAATACCCTTGGATGCATTTACCAGCCCCCTGCTATGCTCTGAGGGTCTGGAGGCTGCTTTCGGCAAAGGTGGCCGTACCTGCGGGCAGGAGGGGCTGCTGTCTGAGTCCTCCGAGGTCTCTGAAGACGTGTCGCTGCTCCCTTAAAAAGAGGAAACATTGCCACCTCCGTCACTACTTTGCGAGGGTTAAAGAAAAAACAAAATAATCAGGAAGAAAAGCAAATCCGCTCGAGAGTGAAAATTAAAAATCCAAGAGGTGTCGGTGTTATTCCTCCCCTCGTCAGCCCCTTCCCCTCCTGGAGAACCGTGTGGCTGGAGCCCCGACGAAGCAGGGGGGGGCCCCAAGCGCGA